ATGAGACAGAAAGAGAGGTTTTTGGAGGCGGCTGATGGGAGAAAAAGTTTGGGATTTTAAGAGTGTTTTACCAACTTCTTCAAAATCCAAAACAGCACGCTTTTTTATTTTAACGAGGAGAACCATCACGCTTTTTTTTATACTAAGAAACAGAAACAGCATGATGTTTGAAAGTGTTAAGCAAAAAGCGATCACTCACCAGATTGAGTATATTCACACACAACTTTCTCATGTGTTTTCATTGCTTCTTTTGGAAACTTAAAAGCTGATGAAAAGTTCTAACAAAAGTTTTGTTCTAACCATTACATAATAAAAAGATTAAAGCAGTAGGAAAATAAATAACATGGATTAAAACAGGGTTGAGGGTTTTAAGGGGTTAAATGCTCCCATGAATTAAAGAGTTAAAGATGATTGTTGTTCGTTAACATTTCTGGAGCAGCCTGAGGAAGAACCACATCTTGGATTAATGTGAGCTTAGCTCGGCCACCGTATTCTTCCGGCAAAGCCTCTAATCCGATATCCTCCTCGAATTTTCTCTGTTCTTCTGCATTTGTTACTATTACAATCTATACAACAACAAAACAAAAAAAGTACTGTGTTTGAGATTTGCTTAAGAAACCGTGGAGATAGATAGATAGATACAATACGAGAAGATTAAAAATCAAACCTTTTCCTGAGTTGCTTTCTCTAGGAAGCGGCAAACGAATTTCCAAACGGTTACAAAGAATCCGGGCATATGCAAGATGTAGCATTTTGCAAGGCGTTCCGGGTAGTAAGACTGGAGAATACATTATAAAATTTTATGAGATGTGACTTTTTATTTATGTGTGATCTACGTCGTTGTTTCAGAAAGAGAGGAAATGCTTACTTGTAAGAACTGAAAGCTGGTGATCAATCCACGAGCATCGAGGTTCTTGTATGTAATGTTTGCAAGATCGATAACACCTACTAACTTCTCATCTCCTGCTTCTTTGCCTTTAATGCCACTGAAACATATGAACCAAAAACCGTGTAATATTGTAATAATAATATATATACAGTAGAGGAATTGGAAGTTTAGCATTTGGTTTCAGCAATGTGTAAACACCTTTTGATTGTTTTGTCTAGCACATAAACGACGAACTCTGCAACACCAAAACACATCAAAAGATTAGTTCATAGATACTAATCTCAAGAATCAACTCAAAGCAAACACATAACATGGACTAAAAAACTCTACATTTGTAGTCAACTGGATTCAATTGAAACTATGCAATAACCAGAAAACATGTAAGAAGCTGATTCGGTAGAAACTATGTTCCCAAACACAATACTCATCTACTCAAAGGAACATATTTTATACACTCAAAGTCAACAAGTGAGAGGTGATTTACTCTTGAAGTTAGCTTGATCCTTAGAAGCAAAATGCTTAGAGGTTATGACAAGCACCAAAGGGTGTCCGGATTTGGTTGGACCCTGAAGACAGATCTTTTTGAATTCCAATTCATTTTTCACTTCTGAGTCTGGTATGAATCCAGATGGAGGAACAAAGGAGGCTCTCCACTTTTGCCAGTCTACAAACATCTTTGCTGCCTTGTCTGGGTCCATTGATCTTGCCACCAAGAACCTCATCAATGTCGGTTTCTCATGTCCCTTTCAGAACAGAACAAAAAAAAACCAATGAATCAGACTTTCTGATTTTGAATGCCTTTTACTAAACTTTCTCTACTGTTGTTACGGTTTCCTATGGAAGGCTCAAACCTAATCAGACGAGAATCATTCACAATGTGAACCATTATGACGAGAATGAGACAAGAGTTTTAAGTAACAGTGTAGACCAGAAAACCCATCAAATCAAATTTCAACTTGTAAAGGAGAGAAACCACAAGACACAACCTTTGTTGTAATGAAATTAAAGCGCTGAGAAATTTGATTACCTCAGTGGAAGAAGATAATTTCTCGACCGATTTTCTGAACTGGGTCAACAAAAGCTCTTGACTTTCCTCCTCCATGATCTTTGGCTCTCTCTCAGATCCTCAAAAACTCACAAGAGGAAAGAAGTAGCCAGATAAAAAAGAGAGAGAGCCTTTTGTGGTCCGTACAAACACACGAACAAAGTTTGTTGAAAAAGTAAAGAGCTTTGATGATAGTGTGTGATGTTGACAGAAACCCAGAAACCACCGGAAGACAAAACCAGAAACAGACAAAAGATTGGGTTTTATTTTGTGTACTTGTATCTCCACGGTTACTGGATAGAATTGAAAACCTCTACCCAATTAGCTGCCAAAACAGACAGCTGGAAGTTAAAAGCTCTGTCTTGACTTTTATTTTAGTATTAACTTTGACGATTTAAAACACTACACAGTACACACAGCTGTGTTGAGCTGATCACATGACTTGATTACTAAATCCCGAATCTTCAGGATTACTATATAAATCCCTACTACTATTTTCAAATGAACCATGTGAAACAGGCTCATTAGTTTTTTTTGAT